TGTTGTTACTCAGACTGGAGTGCAATGGCACAATCTTGGCTCACCGCAACCTCCACCTTCTGGGTTCAAGCAATTCTCCTGCCTCAGCCTCCCAAGTAGCAGGGACTACAGGCACGCGCCACCATGCCCAGCTAATTTTTGTATTTTTAGTAGAGACGGGGTTTCACGACCGGGTGCGGTGGCTCAAGCCTGTAATCCCAGCACTTTGGGAGGCCGAGGCGGGTGGATCACGAGGTCGACAGATCGAGACCATCCTGGTCAACATGGTGAAACCCTGTCTCTACTAAAAATACAAAAAATTAGCTGGGCATGGTGGCGTGTGCCTGTAATCCCTGCTACTCAGGAGGCTGAGGCAGGAGAATTGCCTGAACCCAGGAGGCGGAGGTTGCGGTGAGCCGAGATCGTGCCATTGCACTCCAGCCTGGGTAACAAGAGCGAAACTCCATTTCAAAAAAAAAAAGAAAAAAAAAGAGACGGGGTTTCACCTTGTTGACCAGGATGGTCTCGATCTCCTGACCTCGTGATCTACCCGCCTCGGCCTCCCAAAGTGCTGGGATTATAGGCGTGAGCCACTGCGCCCGGCTGATATATATTTTATACATAATATAGATAACATTATACACACACACACACACACACACACACATATATTAGCCAGGCATGGTAGGTAGCCCATGCCTTTGGACCTAGCTACTCAGGATGCTGAGGTGGGAGGATTATTTCCGCCCAGGAATTTGAGGCTGCAGTGAACTATGATCATGCCACTGCAAGCCATCCTGGGCAAGAGAGCAATCCCCTGTCTCTAATAATAATAAGTAAAATAAAATATATTTACTATTCATTAAGTGGAAGTGGATCATCACAAATGTTGGCTGAGTAGGCTGAGGAGGAGGAGAAAGAGGAGGGGGTTGGTCTTGCTGTCTCGGGCAGAAAGGTGGTAGAAAATCTGCTTAAAAGTGAACTTATGCAATTCAGACTCATGTTGGTCAGGTTCAGGGCACATTAGATGGTGATGTACTATAGGAAAAAAATGGCTCTGGGGAAAGCAGTTTGGGAGTGGGAAGGGTGTCTACAATTTTTTATTTTTATTTTTTTTGAGACAAGGTCTCGCTCTGTCACCCAGGCTGGAGTGCAGTGGCTTGACTGTAGCTCACTGCACCCTCAGTCTCCTGGGCTCAAGTGAGCTTCCTGCTTAGTCTCCCAAATAGGTGGGACTATAGGCGTGTGCTACCATGCCTGGCTGATTTTTTCATTTTTTGTAGAGACAGGATCTTACTATGTTACCCAGGCTGGTCTTGAACTCCTGGACTTAAGCAATTAAGCATGAGCCACAGTGCCTACCCCCTCCTTTTTTTTTTTTTTTTTTTTTTCAGAGAGTGGGGGGGTCTCACTATGTATCCAGGCTGGTCTTGAAGCAATCCTCCCACCTCAGCCTCCCAAAGTGGATATATATTTAAGATACAGCTAATGGGCTGGGCACGGTGGCTCATGCCTATAATCCCATCATTTGGGAGGCTGAGGTGGGTGGATCACGAGGTCAAGAGATCAAGGCCATCCTGGTCAACATGGTGAAACCCTGTCTCTACTGAAAATACAAAAATTAGCTGGGCATGGTGGCGCATGCCTGTAGTCCCAGCTACTTGGGAGGCTGAGGCAGAAGAATTGCTTGAACCCAGGAGGCGGAGGTTGCGGTGAGCTGAGACTGCGCCATTGCACTCCAGCCTGGGTAACAAGAGTGAAACTCTGTCTCAAAAAAAAAAAAAAAAAGATACAGCTAATGGTATTTGATGATACATTGCACATGGTGTGTGAGAAAAAGAGACCAGCCAAAGGGTGACTCCCATATTTTTATCCTAGTCAAATGGAAGATGGTGTTGCTAATGAACTGAGATGAAGACAGCAGGTAGCTGAGATTTGGGAGAACAGGAGTTCCAATGATGCTATCAGTTCAGGTTCTCCGAAGAGCGTGGTGGTGGGTGCCTGTAATCCCAGCTACTAGGGAAGCTGAAGCAGAATAGCTTGAACCTGGGAGGCGGAGGTTGCAGTGAGGCGAGATTGTGCCACTGCACTCCAGCCTGGGTGACAAAGCAAGATTCTGTTACAAAAAAAAAAAAAAAAAGTAGGCCCGTAGGTCTGGCATGGTGGCTCACGCCTGCAATCCCAGCACTTTGGGAGGCTGAGGTGGGTGGATCACCTGAGGTCAGGAGTTCGAGACTAGCCTAGCTAACCTGGTGAAACCCCATCTCTATGAAAAATACAAAAGTTAGCCAGGCTTGGTGGCAGGGACCCGTAATCCCAACTGCTCGGGAGGCTGAGGCAGGAAAATCACTTGAACCCAGAGGCGAAGATTGCAGTGAGCCCAGATGATCCTATTGCCCCCCAGCCTGGTGACAGAGGGAGACTCCATCTCAAAAATAATAATAATAAAAATAAAAATAAAATAAAAATAGTAGGCTGGGTATGGTGGCTCACACCTGTAATCCCAGCATTTTGGTAGGCCTAGGTGGGTGGATCATGAGGTCAGGAGTTCAAGATCAGCCTGGCCAACATGGGTGAAAACCCATCTCTACTAAAAATACAAAAATTAACTGGGCATGGTGGCAGGCACCTATAATCCCAGCTACTTGGGAGGCTGAGGCAGGAAAATTGCTTGAACCCAGGAGGCGAAGATTGCAGTGAGCCAAGGTTCTGTCACTGCACTCCAGCCTGGGTAACAGAGCAAAACTCCGTCTCAATAAATAAATAAATAAATAAAATGAAATAAATAAAAATAGTAAAATACACACAACATAAACTTTGTTATTAACATTAATACATACACAATATTGTGCAACTATCACCACTATCTAGTTCTGGAACATTTTCATTGCCTAAAAGGAAACCCTGGACCCGGTAGTCACTTTCCATCCCCTCCCTCAGTCTCCACAGACTCTGGCAATCATCTATCCACTAATCTGCTTTTTGTTTCTATAGATTTGTCTATTTTGGTTATTTCAAATAAATAGGATTACATAATACGTGGCCTTTGTATCCAGTTTATTTCACTTAGCTTAATGGTTGCAAGTTTCGTCTGTGTTGTAGCATATATTCATTCCTTTTTATTGCTTAATACTATTCCACTGTGTAAATATACCACATTTTGTTTACCCATTCGGCTGATGGACACTTGGGTTGTTTCTACCTTTGGCAATTGTGAATAGTGCTGCTAAAAATAAACATTTGCGTATGAGCTTTTGTTTGAATATCTGTTTAAAATTGTTTTGGGTGTATATCCAGGAGTAAAAGTGCTGAGTCAATGCTAATTTTATGTTTAGCTTATTGAGGATCTGCCAATGTTTTCCACAGCAGCTGTACCATCTTACATTCCCACCAGCAATATCTGAGGGCTCCAATTTCTCCACATCCTTATCAATGCTCATTTTCTGTCTTTTGTTTGTTTTAATTTTAGCCATCCTAGTGGGTATAAAGTGATATTTTATCAACTTGGTTTTGATTTGCATCGCCTTAATGGCTAATGATGTTGAGCATCTTTTCATGTGCTTCTTTTCGTGTGCATTTGTATATCTTCTTTGCAGAAAGGTCTATTCAAGTCTTTTGCCCATTTTTCTTTCCTTTTATTTCACCTGTGACTATAGACAGGATCCAAAGAGGAGTTTTCCAGTCTCCTCCCTGAGTTTAATGGAGACTAACTTTACCCCTCTGTGTTTTTTTTAATTTGGTTGTCTTTTTGCTGTTGAGTTGTAGAGATAGCAACTGTGAAAGGAACTGACTCTCCAGCCCAAGCCTTCTAGCACCTCATTTAAAGTGCTCCTCCTCTCCTTTTAAGTCTATATACAGGCAAATAGCTTCAAAAGCTGGGAGAGGCCCTTGATGACATTTTCTTGAGACAAAGCAAGACTCCGGGTCAAAAAACAAACAAACAAATTAAAAAAGGAGGCCCGGCATGGTGGCTCAGGTGTGAAATCCCAGCACTTTCGGAGGCTGGGCTAGTCTCCAACTTCTGACTTCCAGGTTGTCCCTGACTCCTGCAGTTTTTTGCGTTTCCAAATCTCAAAATTGGCTATGTATCCTCAGTTCTTCTGCACTTTGGCCTCTACTATTTTGGCTCTATTAATAATGAGAAAAGTGGCCAGAGCGGTGGCTCATGCCTGTCATCCCGCCACTTTGGGAAACTCAGTCTGCAGCATCGCTTGAGCCCAGGAGTTCAGGTTACAATAAGCTATGATGTTGTCACTGCACTCCAGCCTGGGTGATAGAGTGAGACTTTGACTCTAAAAAACAAAAAAGACGAAAGAAGAACAAGTTACACGAAAATTCATACAGGCCGGGCGTGGTGGCTCACGCCTGTAATCCAAGCACTTTGGAGGCCAAGGCGGGCGGATCACCTGAGGTCGGGAGTTCAAGACCAGCCTGACCAACATGGTGAAACCCCGTCTTAAAAAAAAAGAAAAATTCATACATTAGATTTGTTCATTTTTTTTTGAGAGAGTCTCGCTCTATCGCTGTGCAGATCTCAGATCACTGCAACCTCTGCCTCCCGGGTTCAAGCGATTCTCGTGCCTCAGCCATCGGGTAGCTGGGATTACGGGCGCGCGCCATCACTCCTGGTTAATTTATTTCGTATTTTTAGTAGAGACGGGGGTTTCGCCAAGGCGGCCAGGCTGCTCTCGAACTTCTGACTTCAGGTGATCCGCCCGCCTCGGCCTCCCAAAATTCTGGGATTACAGGCGTGAGCCACGCCACTGCGCACATTCTTGATTTGAATATGAAGGTTCCAACACCCCCAAACACAAGGTGACACCATTTACAACTGGATCTTCACGAAGCGTCTGGTGATTCAATTTCTGCCAATTAGAAAGAGCAAAAGCACCACACGCAGGCGCCTTAACGCTGAGGGCATAACGAAGGTAAAGAAGGCGTGGCTACTGCCCAAATCCAAGATGGCCGCCAGGAGGCAGTCTGTTCTCGGAAGGGCCGCCCATCCTCGCTCCTGGGGAGGCTCAAAGGCTCAAACACCATTGGTGGAATCGCCGACTGTTCATCCTCGGGGGGCGGTATTGAAGGAGTCCAAATTTCCGGTTCCGGTAGTACCGGGAGCCGAGTCGAGATGGAGGAAGATGCGACCGGCGGACGGCATTCACTGGGAACGGCCGATAGAGTGGGGGCTGCGGCCTAGAGGTCCGGGCTTGGAGTTTGCCTCAGACGCGGTGAAGCCGCCGGAGTCTGAGAAGGTAAGAAGCCACCGGCTCGGGGTGCCTGACAACTCAGGTCTCTGAGGATCTGCACTTGTCAATGAGGCAAAGGATATCTACGGTGCCATGCAGTTTGGGGAGTAAAGGACAACTCCAGTGAGGCATCTCTTCCTGGCAGAGGAGCATGAGATTAGCTGACAGCGGAGGAAGAAGCACGGCAAGGTGCATGTTCGAAGACCCAGAGTGCAGGGGTGGGGTGGGGGGCCAGAACAGAGGCTGCATAAAGGGGTTGTCCCATGGAGTACATGGAGAGGATTGTCATGTGGTGTCTGTGATGAGGGATCACGTGGATACCTACGGCAGACCAAAGGAAAGATGGGAATCTCACCATGTCCGAGGTAGGGAGGAGATTATCTCGAAGGAGAGGTCGGAGGCATCCCCAGGGACCTCCCTTAGGGAAATGTATATTCAGTAGGACAAGAGGGCAAACACGTAAATATATTCATGTTCATGTGGTAAATAGCTCCCAGGATTTAGATGCAATAGGGAGAACAGAAGGAATAGAGAATGTTGGTCTCTACTCTCCCTGTTTCCAGCCGAGAAGTGGGGACCCATGGGTGTCTTGTCAGGAGTTGTAGAAGATGATTTGATTAGAAAAGGTATGAATCGATCAAGTGGTCATCATTTGTGCTCAGTTCCAGTGACAAGTTAGGATGGAGTCAGAGCGCTCCTAACCTAGCCATTAATGGTCCCAGAGTCCTGGAGTAGTTGTTATAATTCTTATAATACTGACAATCCTTAATATTTAAAGCAGTGCTTTAAATATTCTTATTCAGCAGGTCTGGGTACACTCTGAAATTCTGTATTTCTTTCTTTCTTTTTTTTTTTTTTTGAGATGGAGTCTTGCTCTGTCACCCAGGCTGGAGTGCAATGGCATGGTCTCGGCTTACTACAACCTCCACCTCCTGGGTTCGAGCAATTCTCCTGCCTCAACCTCCTGAGTAGCTGGGATTACAGGTGTGTGCCACCATGCCTGGCTAATTTTTGTATTTTTAGTAGAGATGGGATTTTACTGTGTTTGCCAGGCTGGTCTTGAACTCCTGACCTCGTGATCCGCCCACCTCGTCCTCGCAAAGTGTTGGGATTACAGGCGTGAGCCACTGTGCCGGCTGAAATTCTGTATTTCTTTTTTTTTTTGAGACGGAGTTTCGCTCTTGTTACCCAGGCTGGAGTGCAATGGCGCGATCTTGGCTCACCGCAACCTCCACCTCCTGGGTTCAGGCAATTCTTCTGCCTCAGCTTCCTGAGTAGCTGGGATTACAGGCACGTGCCACCGTGCCCAGCTAATTTTTTGTATTTTTGGTAGAGACGGGGTTTCACCATGTTGACCAGGATGGTCTCGATTTCTTGACCTCATGATCCACCCGCCTCGGCCTCCCAAAGTGCTGGGATTACAGGCTTGAGCCACTGTGCCCGGCCTGAAATTCTGTATTTCTAACAGATTCCCAGGTGATGTCCATGCTGTTAGTCTGTGGCACTTGATGTCCATGCGATAGTCTTCCTTGGGTAGCAAGGAATTAGAGCATCACTGTCCGGTAGAACTTTTTGTAATGGTAATGCTTTCTGTTAACAAAATGCCTCCACAATTGTTAACTCATATAAGTTGCACCACAACTCGTATACAACATTGATAGGCTTTATTAGCCTGATTCAACAGATAAGGAAACTGAATTTCGGTGAAGTGACTTGGTTCCAGTTTTACAGTAATGAGTAATGGGAGTGAAACTCAAACATGGATCTTCTGATTGCTGATATTCTTCCCGTTGTATGACCTTGCCTTCCAGGTGACACTTACTTCTCTTGAGCCAGAATCTTATCCCAGAACCTAGTGAATAGTCCCATGTGAATTTTCTTGTACAAGGAGAGTAGAGGTGGGGAGGAGGACGCATATGCCCCTGGGCCAATTTGTCCTTTTCCATTGGTAGGGTCTATAGTGGGAGCTCTGCCTTTAATATATCACTTGATGACTTCAAGACATAGTGCTCACCAATTCTGGGTCACCTGTTAGGTTCCCAGAGAAAGCACTTCAACATTTGTGCCTGAGCAGTGTGAAAAAGTGGAAGAAAATCCAGAATTGGAGCCATGCACATGAGGGTCTGAGAAAAAGCCATGAAGAAGTTGGGCTGACCGAATAGGGAGAAGGGAAGGCTGAAGGAACTTTGCATACAGGTATCTGCAAAGAGGATTTTTCAGCGGGTAAAACAAGAAGAATGGGATTGATGTTTCCGCAAGAAGTTTGGAAGTTACGTAACAAAGAGCAGGCTGAGATCCCACCTTTTAGGAGCAGCCTGCCCCTTTTGAAGGGGTAAAGGGAGTGGGTGCAGTGCCCTCTCTCCTTCTGTTGCATGACTCTTGGATAGGAGTTACCTGCCTCAGAAAGTCCTCACTTCCTTGTGGGAGTTTAAAATAGATTAGCATATGTGAGAAATGGAGGCGAGCGGGGAAATTGGATCCTGCCTTAGGATTTCTCATCAGGAGATGCTGGTACTTGGTGGTTCAGCTTGATAAACTGAGAAGGTGCCATGAAGCCAAGTCCTGGAACAGAACCCCTGGTTGCTCTGTGTTTTAGTTGCTCTGACCCTCTGCCCTGCAGAGCACGCATTTCGCATGTGCCTGGCAGGAGGCCCTCCTGCTTGAGTCCTGCTGTGTTTGTCTTGTGTTGACAACGTGACTGCTCAGTCACTAAGTTTGGTCACTCCACAGACACACTAGGAAAGCAGAGGCAGCTCTTGGTTTCTGTGGAACCGAGCTGCAAGAAGTCTCCGAGCATCTGCATGGCCAGGAGCTTACGCTTAATCGTTGAGTGACCTGCAGTGATAAGGGCATTAATTTTGCCTCCCAGAGGTGGGAATGACTTGGCTTTAAACAGTGATTTGTGTTAGAATTCTTCAGATCCCATGGGGTAGAAGGCATGGTGGAGTAGAGGAGAAATCTTGGCTCATATCTGCCTTTCCATTGACCTGTTATGTGACCTTGGGCCTGTTAGGGTAAATGTATCTGATCCTCCATTTCCTCATTTATCAGAAGTGTCTAACTGTACACAAGTTAAATTGTGAGGATGACATGAGGTAGTAGTCAGTCAATCCTAGTGTTTCTCCGTATCTTCTCACCAGTGTTGGAAATATGATCTTGCAGCCCTGGATGGTAGCCCCTCTGGGGCAGGAGAGGCAGTGACCACCTTTTGAAGGGCTCAAAGGAGAATATTGTCCCACAGGACTTAGTGGGTCCCCGAGGCTGAGACTGGGGAGGAAGGCCACCTTTGCCTACAGCAAGTGGCATATCATTGTTCTAGGGGTTCTCTTGAGGCAGAACTTTGCCTCTAGCTCGATTTCCACAGCCTAGAATTTCCAATTTTTCTAATCCAGTTGACTTCTGTCTCCTCTTTTCCAAGCCATTGTCTTCTCCCTTTCACTATCTACGTGGATTATCCTTTGTTCAAAGGGCTTTGTCCTGTAGGAAGCCTGTGCGGGTTATGTGCCCCTCCCTCATTCCTTACCTTGAAGCGGAGGTTTTCCCTCAACTCTCAAGTATTCAGTTTGCACTGCAGGTTGTCCCTATTTCAATGAAAGTGATATTGCCCAGCTCAGGGAATCCTGAAAAGCTGCCCTTGCTTCCTTGGTAAACCAAAGGTGGTTCTCATGGAATAAAAGCTACCTGAAACCTGAGTTGGGACCTTTGCTTGGGGAAGGGGGTTGAGGATGGACTCTGATTAGATGCTTGGCACGAGGTTTACCACTGGAATTGCTAGTGTAGAATGTTTCAGCCCCCTAGAGTTGTCCCTGTGATGTGGCCACCTCCTTTCTCAGCTGTTGGGATTTCTCTTTAAGTCTGGGGAGCCCCTGCTTCCCACTTCCTGGGATTTATCTTCCCACTGTCCCTTTCTGGCTGAAAATTTCTAGTATCTTACCGAACAGCGGTGGGCTACACTGGAGCACATCGTATTACCACATGTAAGTATGTTTAATAAATGATATCCTATGGTTTGACATTTCCAAAATGTGAAGCTCCTGATTTTATATAGTTTTTAAGTTAGTAAGCTTGCTAGTTTTGTTTGAAATTCTAGGCATTGGATACACTTAACATGAGGGCTACATGTGCATTAACATGCTCTGGTTTCCATCCCTTTCTATGTTTTTCTTTTCTTTATTTTCTGTGTCTCCCAGGCTGGAATGCAGTGGTGTGATCACGACTCACTGCAGCCTCAACATCCCAGGCTCAAGCGATCTTCCCACCTCAGCCTCCCAAGTAGCTGGGACCACAGATGCATGCCCCTATGCTTATTTTTATATACTGTTGAGATGGGGTCTCCCTATGTTGCCTAGGCTGGTCTTGAACTCCTGGGCTGAGGTGATCCTCCCACCTTGGCCTCCCAAAGTGTTGGGAGTATAGGCATGAGCCACCGCGTCCGGCCTTTCCCTCTGTATCTTGTGTCTATTCTCCAGAGCAATATGGTGTCTCCTTGAACAGACGGTTTCTTGAAGTCAGAGTCTATCTTCTCTGTCACTTCTCCGCCTTCATTGTCTAAGACTGAGTTTGTGGTTTATGTGCTTAGAGTTAAAAGCCTGGGGTCCAATGTGTCCTGTACTCTGTAGTTCTCCAGACTCTTCAGGGAAACTACTGAGCTCTCAGGTGGTTCTTTTCTGTTTTTCTCAGAGTGAGTTATCTAATAACCAAAGAGGACTCTGCCCTTTGGCCTGTTCCTGACTTTCTAGCTCCTTTTGCTGGAGGAGAGGGAGGTGATGGGGGGTGCCCTGTGCTGTGAAAGCCCCACTTGCCCTCTTCCCTACACTTTCTTCCAATGCAGATGGGAGAAAATATCATATAAATGTAGTAAGTATGGATCAGGGGAGCTCTGAGGGGCCAGCAAGGGAAACCAGAGACAAAATGAGTTGGCTGGTAGGTGGCGATCACAGGAACCCTGCTGACTGCAGGGCCAAAGGTGGTGCCTCCTCAGTGGGCCCAGGAGCATCAAAACTGAAACAGTCCCTTTCAACCTTCAGGAGCCCCCTAAATGTAACTTACTGACATCTCATTCACCTGCCTAAAGGCCCTGCTTCCTGCCAGGTATTTAGTTGTCCATAGCATCCTGAGCTCTGCCTGGGTGAGCCAGACAAAAAGAATACTCCCTGGCCAGGGTGGTGACACCAGGGCCTAGACAGAGGCAGAGAGTCAGGATAGAAGATCCTGTAAGCTGGGGTAGGGAGCTGAGGAGGGCATGGAGCCAGGAGAATCACTGAAGTGAGGGACAGTTTCTAGGGGAGGGAACCTGAGTAAGGAATGCCTGGCCAAGGACAGAGAAGGGGACATTCTCCTGATCTATAAAGGAAGATTCAAGTGGGGATTGACAGAGCCAGGCTGGGTAGAGTCCAAGCTTTGGGCAGGTGACTGTCCAGGAGATGAGGCCTGAGAATGGGGCTTCAGAGCCCAGCCAGAAGGGGAAAGCACAAAGTTCCAGCCTCCTTCCTCTCATCCCTCCATGCTGCTCGACTCCCAGGTCTTCAGACACCATGGAGGACAAACGAAACATCCAGATCATCGAGTGGGAACACCTGGACAAGAAGAAGTTCTACGTGTTTGGTGTGGCAATGACAATGATGATCCGTGTCAGCGTCTACCCATTCACCCTCATCCGCACCCGGTTGCAAGTGCAGAAGGGGAAGAGCCTCTACCATGGGACTTTTGATGCCTTCATCAAGATCCTGCGAGCAGATGGTATCACTGGCCTCTACCGGGGGTTCCTGGTCAATACCTTCACCCTCATCTCTGGCCAGTGTTATGTCACCACTTATGAGCTCACCCGGAAGTTTGTAGCTGACTATAGCCAGAGCAACACAGTCAAATCACTGGTGGCTGGTGGCTCAGCCTCCCTTGTGGCCCAGAGCATCACAGTGCCCATTGATGTAGTCTCCCAACACCTGATGATGCAGCGCAAGGGTGAGAAAATGGGCCGCTTTCAGGTGCGGGGGAACCTAGAGGGACAAGGTATAGTTGCCTTTGGCCAAACCAAGGACATCATCAAGCAGATCCTGCGGGCTGATGGACTGCGTGGCTTCTATCGAGGCTACGTGGCTTCACTGCTTACCTATATCCCCAACAGTGCCGTCTGGTGGCCCTTCTATCACTTCTACGCAGGTAAGCAGGGGCCAGGACAGTGGGGAGGAAGGTGGGATTTCTAATCGGGTTGGTGCATGTTAGAGTGGAGGTGAGATTTAATGGGGGAATGGGACATTCATTCAGCAAATGTTTGAATCCAGGAGGATTTAAAGCTGCATGAAACATGGTTCTTACTTTCAAGGAGCTTCCAATGTAGTGGGGGAATGGAAAGACTAAAACGGTGTGCAGCATATGCTCTGTGTGCTTTGGAGTCACTGGAAGGTGGGGGAGGACAAAAGCCGTGTTTGGGATTTGAAGATGAATCTGATGGCTAATAGTAAGCTTTTGAGGTGGATGTTTTTCCTCAGCATTTTTTTCTTTTTTTTCTGAGACAGAGTCTCACTCTGTTGCCCAGGCTGGAGGGCAGTGGCACAATCTTGGGTCACTGAAACCTCCGTTTCCTGGGTTCAAGCAATTCTCTGCCTCAGCCTCCCGAGTAACTGGGATTACAGATACCTGCCACCACACCCGGCTAAATTTTGTATTTTTAGTAGAGATGGGGTTTCACCATCTTGGCCAGGCTGGTCTTAACTCCAGACCTCGTAATCCATCTGCTTTGGCCTCCTAAAGTGCTGAGATTACAGGCGTGAGCCACTCTGCGTGCGACCGGCCCAGCATTTTTTTTTTTTTTAGACCGAGTTTTGCTCTTGTTACCCAGGCTGGAATGCAGTGGCGCGATCTCGGCTCACCACAACCTCCGCCTCCTGGGTTCAGGCAATTCTTCTGCCTCAGCCTCCTGAGTAGCTGGGATTACAGGCACGCGCCACCATGCCCAGCTAATTTTTTGTATTTTTAGTAGAGACGGGGTTTCACCATGTTGACCACGATGGTCTCGATCTCTTGACCTCGTGACCCACCCGCCTCAGCCTCCCAAAGTGCTGGGATTACAGGCTTGAGCCATTGCACCCGGCCCGCATTTTTTTTTTTTTTTCTGAGACAGAGTCTCACTCTGTCACCAGGCTGGAGTGCAGTGGTGAGATCTTGGTTTGCAACCTCCATCTCCTGCATTCAAGAGATTCTTGTGCCTCAGCCTCCTGAGTAGCCGAGACTATAGGTGTGTGCCACCATGCTTGGCTAATTTTTGTATTTTTAGTAGAGATGTTATTTCACTATGTTGATCAGGCTGGTCTTGAACTCCTGACCTCATGATCTGCCCACGTCGGCCTCCCAAAATGCTGGGATTATTGCCATGAGACACTGGTCCCTCAGCATCGTTAAATTCAAGGTGTGGCCGGGCGTGGCGGCTCACTCCTGTAATCTCAGCACTTTGGGAGGCTAAGGTGGGTGGATCACCTGAGGTCAGGAGTTCAAGACCAGCCTGGCCAACATGGTGAGACCCTGTCTTAAAAAAAAAAAAAAAAAAAAATTTTAAATTAAATAAATAAATAAATAAATTCAAGGTGTGATATAACCTTGAACCTCTCTACTCCTATAATGTATCTTTGTTCATAAGACATTTTACTTTTTACGTATTTCCTATTTCATAGAAATGGGGTTACTGAGTCAAAGATAACATTTTTGAGGGCTTTTGTAAACATACTGCCAGACTGCCTTCTTAAAGGGCAAGAGCAGGACTTGTGTGTACCTGCTACCCTGGACATCCATCCATAGCTTTGAGTAACTACGAAACTCCCATGAGGGCAGCCTACGTTTGCAGCCTCCATAAGCCCAGCTGTTGGCTCCTAATCCTTGGTAGTGGGCATTCTGTCCTACCCCACTGGAAACTTTTCTGACCAAAATTTTGATGTCTTCTTAACCTGTAATGATTTCGGTTTTTTTGTGGCTCTGTACTTTCCTGGTGCTTCTTTTGTTTTTCTGATTATTGCTGCTGCTGCTGACTCTTCTTCCTTCTTCTTTCTTCTTTTTTTTTGAGACGGAGTTTCACTCTTGTTACCCAGTCTGGAGTGCAGTGGCGCAATCTCGGCTCACCGCAACCTCCACCTCCCAGGTTCAAGTGATCGTCCAGCCTCAGCCTCCCAAGTAGCTGGGATTACAGGCATGAGCCACCACGCCTGGCTAATTTTGTATTCTTAGTAGAGGTTCTCCATGTTAGTCAGGCTGGTCTCCAACCCCCAGTCTCAGGTGATCTACCTGCCTTGGCCTTCCAGAGTGCTGGGATTACAGGTGTGAGCCACCGCGCCCTGCCCCCACCTTTTTTTTTTTTTTTTGAGACGGAGTTTCGCTTTTGTCGCCCAAGCTGAAGCGCAGTGGTGTGATCCTGGCTCACTGCAACCTCTGCCTCCTGGGTTCAAGCTGTTCTCCTGCCTCAGCCTTCAGAGTAGCTGAGATTGTGCCTGCCACCACACCCCAGCTGATTTTTGTATTTTCAGTAGAGGCAGGGTTTCTCATGTTGGCCCGGCTGGTCTCGAAACCTTGAACTCAGGTGATCCTCCTGCCTCAGCCTCTCAAAGTGCTGGGATTACAGGTGTGAGCCACTGCGCCCAGCCTTTCTTTTTTTTTTGCTAGCTCTATTACTTCTGTTTAGCACAGTGTTTCCGCTGGGGTATTTGTTAAAAGTCAGGTTCCGGCCGGGTGCAGTGGCTCACGCCTGTAATCCTAGCACTTTGGGAGGCCGAGGTGGTTGGATCACCTGAGGTCAGGAGTTCAAGACCAGCCTGGCCATCATGGTGAAACCCCATCTTTTTTTTAAAAAAAGGGTATGTGTATATATATATATATACATCTATAGACATATATATATAGTTGTATATATATATATAAAGTCAGGTTCCTGGATTCTACCCTTTAATGTTAAAAAAGCTTCTCAGGAAATGTGGGCATTTTCTCTGGAGGCGTCTTTAGCCTTCTCTCCTCACTTGACTGTATTCACAATTAGAGCTGCATTTTTCCGATGTGTCCATCATCTCTACTTCCATTCTTATACCAACCTGTTGAGAGCTCTGCACAGACATTCTGACTGTGGGACTTCTCCATCTAGACGATCTACTTATGTCTAAAACTTTCTGAATTAACTAGTCCTCATCCTGAGCTGGCTCTCTTTTCTTACTTACTTTCATCTGTCAGTGGCCTTGTTATTCTCCAGATCACCGAGACTGAAGCCTTAGGATTGTGCTTGACCACTCCTTCTTTCTTGTCCCCATATCTAGTCCTGGTGACTGCAGAATTTCTTTCCCAACTTTTATTCCTACTGCCTTCCCTGACGGGAAAACCCTTCCCAGAGGGCCTCTGTTACCTTCCTCCCAGACTGCTGCATCAGCCTTGTAGCTGTTCCCTCCTAAGTTCTCTTTCTTCTCGTCTAATGACATACATGTCTAATGGACTGATCTTTTCAACTCTAGTTGTCATGTTCAGTGGCTTCCACTGCTTACTGAATAAAATCCAAACTCTTCAGCCTGGCTTCAGCCTCCCTTAACAGTGAAATCTCTTACTTCTCCCCTAGGCATATGCAGTCCGTTCTGAGGCCTGAGCAGGTGGTGCACAGTTCCTCAACCGTACATCACCTCTCCTACCACGGTGCCGAAATGCCCCCCAGGTTCATTTACCGTTGGTGCAGTCATGACTTACCTTAAGTGCTCTTTTTTTTTTTTTTGGAGACAGAGTACGCTCTTGTTACCCAGGCTGGAGTGCAATGGCGCGATCTTGGCTCACCGCAACCTCCGCCTCCTGGGTTCAGGCAATTCTCCTGCCTCAGCCTCCTGAGTAGCTGGGATTACAGGCACGTGCCACCGTGCCCAGCTAATTTTTTGTATTTTTAGTAGAGACAGGGTTTCACCATGTTGACCAGGATGGTCTCGATCTCTTGACCTTGCAATCCACCCGCCTTGGCCTCCCAAAGTGCTGGGATTACAGGCTTGAGCCACCACGCCCGGCCTTTTTTTTTTTTTTTGAGACGGAGTTTCGCTCTTGTTACCCAGGCTGGAGTGCAATGGTGTGATCTCAGCTCACTGCAACCTCTGCCTCCTGGGTTCAAGCAATTCTCCTGCGTCAGCCTCCCGAGTAGCTGGGACTACAGGCGCGCACCACCATGCTTGGCTAATTTTTGTATTTTTAGTAGAGACGGGGTTTCACCATGTTGACCAGGATGGTCTCGACCTCTTGACCTTGTGATCCACCCGCCTCGGCCTCCCAAAGTGCTGGGATTATAGGCGTGAGCCACTGCGCCCAGCCTTAAGTGCTCTTTGTTGCCTCCTCTTCCTTCCTCTCCATGTAACCCTTAACCCAGAAGTGATCTTTCCCCCTTTTCATCCCCACAGCGTTGAATCTTAAGGCAGTTATACATTTGCCTTGATGTTATTTGTGTGTTCCTTTCCTCTACTACATGGAAAGGTTCTTGGAAAGGGGAGGAAGGTAACATTTATTGAATGCCCACATGTGCCAGGGCTCTGTGTAAGGGCTTATATATCTCATAATTCCAGTCTCACAATAACCCTGCGATGTAAGTGTTCTATAAGAATAGGGACCATGTCTGCTTTTGTTCACTATTGTACCTCCCAACACCTGACTTAAGGTCTGGTAAACCTTAACTGCTTGGTAAATATTTTTGAATTAATAGACTGGTTCTTGCCACTCCCTTTTGCTTAAACTCTGCCAGTACTGGCTTACTGGCATCTAGAATAAAATCAATTTTCCTTTCCACTGTCTATACCTCTCCATTGATCTGACTCCTGTCTGCTTTTCCAGCCTCACTTTGTGCCACTCTTCTCTCCCTCACTGCTCTTTCCTCAGTTCCTGGTACACATCAAGCTCTGATCTTACCTCAAGGCCTTTGCAGATAATGTTCTCTGCCCAGACACCCTTACCCCTGTTCTTTATGTGGCTGGCTCCTTCTCATCCTTCAGGCTTCAACTTACATGTCATCTTTACAAAAAGGACTTTATCCTATTGGAAAGAGGGCTCTTTCTGTTTATATATATTTTAGTACCTTGTTTTCTTTTTAGTACTTGTCATAATTTGCAGGTATTTTACCCTCAACTCCTAGCTCTTTAGTTAGAATATGATGAGTTCCATGAAAGCATCTCCCTGGCCACATCTCTGTTGTATGTCTGGTACTTGTCACGGTGCCTGGCATCTAGTATTAAGTAAATTCTCATTTAGATCATTAAATACTTGTCCAAGGTCAAGCCAGTCTTGGCCAAGAGGGACTTAAACCAAGTCAGCCTGGATTCATCTTTTGCCTGGTAGACAAGAGATTCTTCAGTGTTTCTTGAATGAATAACGGAGAAGAATGAAAGATGTGGAGTTCGTTCGAGCTTTGTTTTCTTTTCTTTTTTTTTAAATAGAGACGGGGTTTCACCATGTTGGCCAGGCTGGTCTCGAACTCCTGACCTCAAGCAATCTACCTGCCTCGGCCTCGAAAAGTGCTGGGATTATAGGCGTGAGCCACCGCACCTGACCAGTTTGTTTGTTTTGAGACAGAGTCCTGCTCTGTCATGTAGACTCTAGAGTGCAGTGGCATGATCTTGGCTCATTGCAGCCTTGAACTCCTGGGTTCAAGCAATTCTCGTGCTTCAGCCTCCGGAGCAGCTGGGACTATAGGAATGGGGACGATGTTTGTTTTTGTTCACTATTGTACCTCCCAACACCTGGCCGCAACCTCACTCATCTAATTTTTTGTATTTTTAATAGAGACAGAGTTTCACCATGTTGGCCAGGCTGTTCTTGAACTCCTAACCTCAAGTGATCCACATGCTTCGGCCTCCCAAAGTGCTGGGATTACAGGCACGAGTCAATGTGCCTGGCCTAACATGAAGTTATTTCTACCACTTTCTTGCCTTTGTGTTTCATCCTCTCCCCAAGGCCCAGGAAAATGGCATATGTACATGATTAACATTGGAATCTGGATCCTGCTGTAGCTTGCAGGCCTGGAGGCCAGTATACACAGGCCCAAGGAGGCAGGCAATGCCAGTTCATATGCTACAGTTTTTTTTTTTTTTTTTTTGAGATGGAGTCATACTCTGTCGCCAGGCTGGAGTGCAGTGGTGCAATCTCAGCTCACTGCAACCTCCGCCTGGGTTCAAGCGATTCTCCCGCCTCAGCCTCCCAAGTAGCTGGGACCACAGGCGCATGCCACCACGCCCGGCTAGTTTTTATATTTTTATTAGAGACAGGGTTTCACCATGGCCAGGATGGTCTCGCTCTCTTGACCTCGTGATCCGCCCGCCTCAGCCTCCCAAAGTGCTGGGATTACAGGCTTGAGCCACCGTGCCCGGTCTATTTTTGTCTTAATATTTTTTTCTTTTCTTTCTTTTTTTTTTTTTTTTTTTGAGATGGAGTTTTGCTCTGTTGCCAGGCTGGAGTGCAGTGGCACAATCTCGGCTCATTGCAATCTCCACCTCCTGGGTTCAAGCGATTCTCCCGCCTCAGCCTCCCAAGTAGCTGGGACCACAGGCATGTGCCACCAAGCCTGGCTAATTTTTGTATTTTTAGTAGAGACGGGGTTTCACCACGTTGGCCAGGATGGTCTCAATCTCTTGACCTCGTGATCTGCCCGCCTCGGCCTCCCAAAGTGCTGGGATTACAGGCATGAGCCACCGCGCCCGGCTAATTTTTTTTTTCAAATGGAGTTTCCCTCTTGTTGCTCAGGCTGGAGTACAATGACGTGGTCTTGGTTCACTGCTATCTTTGCCTCCTGGGTTTGAGCAGTTCACCTGCCTCAGCCTCCCAAGTAGCTGGGATTACAGGCACCTGCAACCACACCTGGCCAATTTTTTTTGTATTTTTAGTAGAGATGGGGTTTCACCATGTTGGCCAAGCTGGTCTTGAATTCCTGAGCTTAGGTGATCACTCACTTCACGCTCCCAAAGGCCTGAGCCACTGTTTAATGATTGCAAAATGCCTTTTCTTGGGAGAAACAGGACACATGTGAGGCGGAACCACCAATTCACTTTGTTCTGTTTGTACGCTGATTCTGGGGAAGAAAGTAGTTAGAACTGGGGGAGAGGTGGTTCTGGTAAGGCTTAAGGAATTCTGCCATGCCTGCTGGGACTTGGAAGCTCTCACTTCTGCCCTGCTAGCCTCCACCTCCCTGCTTCTCCCTGGCCACAAACTACTAAAAGTAGGAGCATGAGGAGAAAATTCTTTTTTTTTTTTTTTTTTGAGACAGAGTTTCATTCTTGTTACCCAGGCTGGAGTGCAATGGCGCGATCTTGGCTCACCGCAACCTCCGCCTCCTGGGTTCAAGCAATTCTCCTGCCTCAGCCTCCTGAGTAGCTGGGACTACAGGCACGCGCCACTATGCCCAGCTAATTTTTTATATTTTTAGTAGAGACGGGGTTTCACCATATTGACCAGGATGGTCTCGATCTCTTGACCTCGTGATCCACCCACCTCGGCCTCCCAAAGTGCTGGGATTACAGGCACGCGCCACCGCGCCCGGCCGAGAAAATTCTTAAAGGTATGACAACTGAACTATGGAAGAGAAAATCCTAAGTGACTTACTTCTTGAATCTCATCTATTGCTCCTTCCCTCACTCATACTGCTCCAGGATACTGGACTTGCTGCAGGGAATACTTTCTGTCTGCTCGCGCCTCAGGGCCCTTGCATAGGACATTATCTCTTGCTTTGAAAGCTCTGTGCATAGATCCATATGGCTTGTGCTGTCTTCTTCAGGTCTTTGCTTGGACTTGACCTTCTTGGAATGGGCTTTCATCCTTTATCCCTGCAAGATCTGAGAAAATAAATAAATAAAATGACAACCCCTTACCCTCCGCCCTTGGTCTCCCTATCTGCCTTTCCTGCTTTATTTTTATCTATAGCACATACCTGCCGGCACAGCTATGTATTTGCTTTTTCTTTGTTAACGTCTCCTCATATTAGAATATAAATTTCCTAAGCGCAGGAATTTGAGGCTCTTGTATTCACAGTTAAATCCTCAGGACCCAAGATGACCCACTCATCGTAGTTACTCAATAAGTCTTTGTTAAATAAATGAATGAACGCTTGTCTTTGACCTCCAGAGAGAGAAAAAATAAAATGCAATTGCAGGTAGACCTCTCAGTGGTACTGGGATGGGTGACTCTGGGTACCATTCTATCTTCATTAGCATTTTGAAAGATGAATTTTTCTTTCTTGATACAGGCTGGAGAAAAGTGCTCATTGTAGGATGTGACTATTTTTATTTTTGATTTTTATTTTTGAGATGGAGTTTCGCTGTTGTTACCCAGACTGGAGTGCAATGGCGTGATCTCGGCTCACCGCAACCTCCGCCTCCTGGGTTCAGGCAATTCTCCTGCCTCAGCCTCCCGAGTAACTGGGACTACAGGCACGTGCCACCATGCCCAGCTAATTTTTGTATTTTTAGTAGAGGCGGGGTTTCACCATGTTGACCAGGATGGTCTTGATCTCTTGACCTCGTGATCCACCTGCCTCAGCCTCCCAAAGTGCTGGAATTATAGGCATGAGCCATCGCGCCCGGCCTGGATGTGACTATTTTTAATATTAATTGTTTTTATTTTTTAAAACATGAACATGGTTTAAAATTCAAAAGTTAAAAAAGGGTATGTAGTATGCAATGAAAAGGCTCCTCACTCACCACAGTCACCTCGTTCCCTTCTATAGAGACAGTCAGTGTCACTGGTTTTTATTTTATTTTTTATTTTTTATTTTTCTTTGAGACAGGGTCTTACTCTGCTTGCCCAGGCTGGAGTGCAGTGGCATGATCATGGCTCACTGTAGTCTCTACTTCCAGGACTCAGGTGATCCTCTAACCTCATCCTCCCAAGTTGCTGTGAATACAGGCCTGTACCACCATGCCCGGCTAATTTTTGTATTATTGGTAGAGGGGGGGTGTCACCATGTTGTCCAGTCTGGTCTCAAACTCCTGGGCTCAACTGATCTACTGATCTGGGCCTCCCAAAGTGCTAGGATTACAGGCGTGAGCCACCACCACCTGGCCATGTCACTGGTTTCTAATGGATCCTACCAGAGTTACTCATATAGTTACTCATATAGAAGCAAATATTTACATTATGCTTTTCTAGCCTCTGAGTTAGGAGAAACAGAGCAAAGAGGCATAAGGCTTTTACATCAGGAAGGATTTTCTGCTCATCAGATGAAAGGAGTCAGCAAGCAAAGAGATCTGAAATCCCCCTCTCCAAGGAATTTTGTTCTGTTTAAATGGATGATGTTGGCTAGGTGCAATGGCTCACACCTGTAATTCCAACACTTTCGGAGTCTGAGACAGGAGGATTGCTTGAGTTCAGGAGTTCAAGACCAGCCTGGACAACAGGGTGAAATCTGTCTCTACAAAACTTTTTTTTTTTTTTTGAGAGTCTTGCTCTGTCACCCAGGCTGGAGTGCAGAGATGCAACCTTGGCTCACTGCAACCTCCACCTCCTGGGTTCAAGTGATCCTCCTTCCTCAGCCTCCCCAGTAGCTGGGACTACAGGCATGTGCCACCACACCTGGCTAATTTTTTGTATTTTTAGCAGAGATGGGGTTTCATTGCGTTAGCCAGGATGGTCTCAATCTCCTGACCTCGTGATCCGCCAGCCTCGGCCTCCCAAAGTGCTGGTATTGCATGCACGCACCACTGTGCCCGGCCTACAAAACATTTTTTTAAAAATTAGCTAGGCATGGTGGCACAAGCCTATAGACCCAGCTACTGGGGAGGCTGAGGTGGGAGGATGGCGTGAGCCCGGGAGATTGAGGCTACAGTGAGCCATGATCACACCACCGCACTCCAACCTGGGTGACACAATGAGACCCTCTCTAAAAAAAAAATCAAAATAAATGGGTGGTGTCACCAAGATGACTTCTGGAAAGAGCCTGAGACTTAGAATTTTTTGAAGGAAACAGAGAAAAGAAAAGCCAGGAGTTAGGTGTGTAAGGTGGCAAAGGGCGGAGGGTTTGTCCGGGTTAGGAAAGCTACCCGGTAGAAGCAGCAAGCGCAGTAAGGGCAGACCAGTGGTACCTTGTGTCTTGAGGCATTGTCTTTCCCTGGATTCCAGAGCAGCTCTCCTACCTGTGTCCTAAGGAGTGCCCTCACATTGTCTTTCAAGCCATCTCGGGACCCCTGGCTGCAGCCACTGCCTCCATCCTCACCAATCCCATGGATGTCATACGAACCCGTGTGCAGGTAAGACTGGCCACTTCCCTCACCCTTCTCCTGGAGAAGCCATTAGAAGCATGACCTTTGAGCCCTCCAGTGTTGCCCTGACCTCTTTGTGTCCTAGCCCCCTAGTCCAGTCAGTCTTCTCCTGAACATCTAAGCCCCTTCTGTGTGCTTAGCATCTACAGAAGCCATCCCATGGCTGGGCGTGGTGGCTCACGCCTATAATCCCAGCACTTTGGGAGGCCGAGGCAGTCAGATCACCTGAGCTCAGGAGTTCAAGACAAGTCTGGCCAACATGGTGAAACCCCGTCTCTACTAAAAATAAAAAATTAGCTGGGTGTGGTGGTGGGCGCCTGTAGTCCTAGCTACTCAGGAGGCTGAGGCAGGAGAATCACTTGAACCTGGAGGCAGAGGTTGCAGTGAGCCGAGATCGTCCCACTGCACTCCACCCTGGGTGACTGAAAAAAAAAAGTTAGCCTAGCCCTTAAAGTACCTGGAATGCTTCTGGCTCTGTCAACCACCTTACATACCTCTCCTCTATCACATGCCCGTGCCATAGCCTGTCAACGACTCTTTCCTTTGCAGCTTTGTAGTTATAAGAAATATTGATTTCAGTTAATTCGTAAGTCTGTCTGGTTTTTCCACTAGGCAGTAAGTTCTCTACGGATTATGAGGGTGACTGTTCTTAAATGGCTTTCACAGATTGTATGGTGTGGGTGCAGCAAAACCACCCTTAGTAATGCTTGTCTTCAGTCAGCTCAAAGACAGTTACATAGCCCCTAGATCAAGGAAATAGAATCTGAATGATGATATACAATGTGCAAATAGTAGGTATTGCCATATAAATTTTTTTTTTTTTTTTTTGAGATGGAGTTTTGCTCTTGTCACCCAGCCTGGAGTGCAGTGGTACGATCTTGGCTCACTGCAACCTCCGCCTCCTGGGTTCAAGCCATTTTCCTGCCTAAGTTTCCGAAGTAGCTGGGATTACAGGTGCCCTCCACCATGCCCAGCTAATTTTTGTGTTTTTGGTAGAGATGGGGTTTCACCATGTTGGCCAGGCTGGTCTCCAACTCCTGACCTCAGGTGATCCACCCGCCTCGGCCTCCCAAGGTGCTAGGATTATAGGCGTGAGACACTGTGCCTGGCCTCCGTATAAAGTTTTATATCTGATTCGCAGAGAATCAGACATAGTGGAGAATCAAAGATGTACAAGAGAGTGAAGTCACTGGGTTATGGTGAGGGGAGGAGGGAAGGAAAATAAGTTTAACAGGTTGGGGATAAAATCAGCTTCCCTAGTACCAGGATGTTGGGAAGGAGATAGGTTATAAATACAGGTATTTTTGTCCCTAGGAAAGAGTGCCCCCCTCCATTTGAAAATGAATACACTGGCATCTGGTTGGTTTGCAAATAATAAAGTGCACAGGGTCAGTCCTCATTTTTTCCTGAGCCTTGTTCTGAGTGTTCTAGGAGGAGATCCAAGGGAAAGGACAGGTCTCTACTTTGAGGAGCTTCCAGGCTGGAAAGACCCAGAGGCATAGCTGAAAAAGTCCTTGACATGGCTGTGGATAAAGTGGAAGGGTTATGGAAGCAGAGATGGTCACATGAGAGAGTACTGGAGAGGAAGAAGGGGAGTGTAGAGGAGGTGCTGAAGGAGGCAGGGTAGAAGAGGGAGATGTTCTTAGCCATGGCTGGGATATCTTGTGAAGGTCGTACCATATAAGGGGAGGTATGAACAAGGAGTGCGTCTGTCCTGTATTGGCCGAGGGACTGAGGGCTGGTTTCTAAAGGTATAGTTTGGGGTGGGAGTGTGTGTTTGGGACTGCTAAGAAAGAAGAGAGAAGTGATTCCTGCCTGGCCGGGCTTTCACTGTGATAGGGAAGATGCCTATATTCGTTCATGGGTTGTGTGAAGAAAGATGGCAGCGATGGAGAGGAAGAATCTAGCTCTGGGGCTTCAAGGGATTGAGATGATCAGAATCAAAATCATAGACTAGCACAGCTACAGAGGTTCTTAGAGAGGATTTAACCCAGCCTCCCTGACACCAAAGAGCACATCCAGTCCAGAGATTCATGGCTACATAGCTTATCTCATGATATCAGCGATAGCTAACATTGATTGTACATTTACTGTCTGCCACCACTTTTGTTAGTATTTATGAATATTATTTTCTTTCTTGCTTATCACAACCTTGTGGTGCAGGTACTGTTATCACTGTTTTATATTTGAGGAAATTGGAGCACAAAGAGTTAAGTAAATTACCCAAGGTTATGTTGTTAGTAGGCTGGGGAGCAGAATTCAAACTCTGGCAGTCTGGCCCCAGGACTCATACTAAATCACTGTGCTGTACCGTCCCTCACAAGCAGAGTCCACTCCTTCCAACACCCAAATTGGTTCTCTGCACTTTAGCCAAAGACAGAGGGAGATTGAGCAGAAGGGCTCTGACTATAGGCAATGGCCCCTCCACTGTGTTGACTTTTCCAGGTTGAGGGCAAGAACTCCATCATCCTGACCTTCAGACAGCTGATGGCAGAAGAAGGGCCTTGGGGCCTCATGAAGGGCCTCTCGGCCAGAATTATCTCAGCCACACCTTCCACCATTGTCATTGTGGTGGGTTACGAGAGCCTCAAGAAACTCAGCCTCCGACCTGAGCTGGTGGACTCGAGACACTGGTAACCATCGGTGGGGAGAGAAGCCTGCTGTTTTCTACACTATTGTGGGTCAGGGACAGAGTGGAGAGGACAGCACCGTCTCCAAATGCCCCCACCACACACCCGGCCCTGCCCTGGGCCAGGTGGCCTATCTGGGATAGGGATAGAGACTTTGAACTGCTCTTGCTGACGAGGCTCCATGCCTGGATCCCTTGCCCCCACTATTTAAAATTATCTTCTGAGCTGGGCTCCCTCACTCAGTCCCTGTATTCGATACTGGCCTAAAGACCCCACCTTCCACCCTACCAGCCCTTCTGGCTTCCCCCTCCATCTGTGTCCCTGCGACCCTGAGAAGAGCTGTACATAGAGCTTGCTTACTACCACTGGTTCTTCCTCTTGGGCTTTCAGCCCAGACTCCAAGCTGCTGCTATCACCCCTCTCACCCTTCATCTCTTAGCCTTTCTTATTTTTATTTTGGGACTGAGCTGCCCGCTAGAGGACTCTGCTTTTCCCTGCACTTGGGGCTACGGTACCAGGCACTTATTTGCACAAGGAGCAGGAGCAGCAAAAATCTCTGGTTCTCCAGAGCACTCTTCCTCTCTTTGGAGGGGTTATTAGATTGGGGAGAAATGTTGATACTTTATTTTGTGTGTGCGTGTTTGTGTTTTTTAACATCTGTGAACCGGGCTACTAGTCCTGCTAAAGCGCCAATCCTGCTGTCAGAGCCCACCCCTTCCTAAGACAGGTAGAAAAATGTAATGTAGCATTTTCCTCAATCCAGTTCCCTGTCCCTTCAGTCTCAGGAGCCCTAGGAGAGTCTAAGCTGGGGTGTCCCCTAGCCCAGAGGACTCCCATGGTGGGCACACTTCAAAGTGGATCAGGCTGTCTTGGGTGCACTGGACTTGGAGCACCCAAGTCTACTTTTCTCAGGTTGAGAAAGTAGTTGATAGAGAAGACAGCAGGAGGGCATGTGTTCCCGAGCACATCCACCCAGGCCAGCTAGATCCTGGATAGAGCACATCCATCCAGGCCAAACCTAGGAGAGGGCAGTAGAGATTCCCTGCCCCGGGCAGCCATGACATACATGTCCCCAATCACTCAGACTCTTGGCAACAAATGATGTCTCACAATGGGGATCTCTAAGTTCTACATCGCTGGATGTAAAGTATCCCAGTCATGGTACCCTGTGGAGGGATGCTAGAAGAACATAAAGAGCAGTTCAGGAAGTCACCCGATACCAGGACCACTGCATCTACCAGCCTGATACTGCCAAGATTACCTGATGCTTTCCTCAGGAGATAGGAGAGGAGTGCTCCTTCTTCCCTGCCTCATCCTCCCTACTGCTACTCCTTCCAAGCCTGTGATGCAGGTAGAGAGGTGCAGCAAATAGACAAGAAGGCATGTCAAACCCTGCATTTCTACCTGAGACATTTGGCTTGGATGGTCCTCCAAACCCTATTGGTCCCACCCCCTGGGAAAGGCCATGGTGCCAATTTGAAAGGTGCTAGCTACCTGAAGCCTTGATATTTCTTATGGCTGCTGCACATTCTTCCACCTTGGCCAGAACAGGTTCTGAAAACCGTTTCTCTACCTTCACTACCACCACTGCCCATCTCGATCTCTGAGGGTTTTCCCCTTTCACTTGATTTTATTTCCCCCTGCACCTTGTGAAGAGAGTCCTCCAATTTCTGTCCAGGAATGGAATGTTCACATCCAAAGGGTTGGACCCACTCATCATTCTGAATCTTCCTGCCCCTCCTCACCTCTTTACCCTGAGAACCACAAATATAATGGAGCAGTGGGCCCCTCCCATCTCTTTAAGCTCATTCTAAGGAAGCCTCTGGAAGTTGGTTTTTGTCAGCTTCCTTCCTCCCCTAGAGACTGGTCCCAGTCCTTCCCCCTCCCTGGCACAGTGGGGAAAGTGTCAGTAGGGAAAGTGTCACCGACAGGAGGTAGGATCCTGCCGCTGGCGTCTTAGTGTGTTTCTCCCCCGAGACTTTCCTTCTGTCTTGTCTTGTGCAGTATTTTACAGCCTTTCATATGTCTGTCGTTCTGTTTCTCACACACACGCAGTTTTAAGGGTGATGTGTATAATTAAAAGGACCCTTGGCCCATACTTTCCTAATTCTTTAGGGATTGGGATTGGGTTTGACTGAAATATGTTTTGGTGGGGATGGGACGACGGACTTCCATTCTCCCTGGAGTCCAAAACAGAATCTTGGTTGTATTGGTTGGTAACTAAAACTAAAACTCTGGAAGACTGGCCAAGGCGGGAAAACTGGTGGGAGCATTGAGGAACAAGGGAATGAAAAGGCAGACTCTCTGAACATTTGATAAAATGGACTCCTGTGAACATTAACAGTGAATATTCACTGTTGCACTGTACGAAGTCTCTGAAATGTAATTAAAAGTTTTTATTGCGCCCCCCGAGCTTTGGCTTGCGCGTGTTTTTCGGGTCGCGTACATCCCAACGCGCACAGCCACGCCTACCCGCGTCCCTCAGCCTCCGGCAACTTCCCAACCCCCGCCCCGCTCGGTGACAGACATTCTGCCGCTTCCAATCGGAGGCGCTCGTTGTGGGAATGGCCAATCGGAGGCTTCGGAGGACGGGGAGGCCGGACCAGTTAGACTTGGCGGTTCAACTTCAACATGGCCGAAGCAAGCAGCGCCAATCTAAGCGGCTGTGAGGAAAAACGGCATGAGGAGTCGTCTCCGGAATCTGTGCCACCCGGCACTACCATTTCGAGGGTGAAGCTCCTTGACACCATGGTGGACACTTTTCTTCAGAAGCTGGTCGCCGCCGGGAGGTAAAGTGGAGGAGCCGCAGTAGGAGGGTTTGTCCGCGAGATCAGGACGGCCGCTAACCGGCGTGCGATCACGTGGGTCTGCGGCGGGGGCGGGCAGTCGGATCAGAAGACCCTGTCAAATCCTGAGCCGGAAGTGTCAGGGTATTCACGCACCGATAACCTGTAGCGGACCGGGATAGCTACCTACTCCTTCCAGGAAGCCCCGTTTTCACTAAAACCTAAGGTGATTGGGAGGAAAGATAGAGCCTTTGCAAATTAGAGCAGGGTTTGTTTTATTTTATTTATTTATTTATTTTTTTGAGACAGGGCCTTGCGCTGTCGCTCAGGCTGGAGTGCAGTGGCGTGATCACTGCAGCCTCGACCTCCTGGGCTCAAGCGATCTTCCCGCCCCAGCCTCCCAAGAAACCGGGACTACAGGCTCGGGCTACCGCGCCCGGCTACAGATCATGGTTTAAATCCCGGCCCACGACTATGTGAGCAAGACATAAGCCCCCTGTCCCTCGTCGGCTTCTCATCAGTCAAGTGGCAACCATAGTATCACTTTTGAGAATGAAATGAGTAAATACACCTAAGGCGCCTGGGACAGGACCTGCCACTAGAAAGATTTGTTATCTATTATGGGAATATCTTCTTCACTGGGAGATTGCCGGGACTAAATGTATTACCATAAAAAGAAACATTTTTCCTGTCTCGACTTCTACATAATGTATCTGATTCAAGAGTTTTGCCCATGATCCCACCACCCCAGCACATCAGCGTTGAAATGCTTCCAGGAGTTTGGTGCCCTGACCACAGCCTCTCCTCCTGGAGCCCTCGCTGTTCCCACTTCCCCATTCTTTGGCTTCACGAGGACTCCCATCTTTCCCAGTCCATCCCTCCTGGGTTCAGTACTTTACTACGCGTTTTCATCTTTCTTTTCACTCATGACTCGTCACATATTTGAGTACCTTTTCTGTGTCAGGTGCTCGGGATACCATAAGGCAGACAGGCCTCTGTCTTTTTCGAGCTTGCATTCAATGGGCAGAGGCACCAACAACTTCATCACACAGCCTGGTAAGATAAGGCCAGCACAGTGACTCATGCCTGTAATCCCAGTGCTTTGGGAGGCTGAGGCAGGAGAATCATTTGAGCCCGGGAGTTTGAGGCTTCTGTGAGTTACAATAGCCCCATTGCATTTCAGCCTAGGTGACGGAGCAAGACCCTGCCTTTAAAAAAGAAAGAAAAAAAAAAATAGGATGGGCCCCCATCTCTAGAGTGCCCATTCTGAGAGGTGACATTTTAGCTGAAACTTGAAGAATGAGAAAGAACCATTTTTTCTTTTCTTTTCTTTTTTTTTTTTTTTTTTTTTGAGGCAGAGTCTAACTCTGTTGCCCAGGCTGGAGTGTAGTGGCTTGATCTCTGCTCACTGCAACTTCCACCTCCCAGGTGATTCTCCTGCCTCAGCCTCCCAAATAGCTGGGATTACAGGAGCCTGCCACCACACCCAACTAATTTTTGTATTTTCAGCAGGGACAGGGTTTCACCGTGTTGCCCAGGCTGGTCTCAAACTCCAGAGCTCAAGCGATCTACCTACCTTGGCCTCCCGAAGTGCCGGGATTACAGGCATGAGCCACCATGCCTAGCTGGAACCAGCTTTTTGAAGCATTTCAGAAAGAGTATGTAGGCAAAGGGGACAGCTTGTGCAAAGTCTCTGAGGTGATCAGATATTCCAGGAACTGGCGGAAACCTTGGCTACAGCATAGTCATCAGAGTAAAATGAGATGAGGCTGGAGAGGCAGGTGACAGCCTTATGCAGGGCCTAGTTCGCCATAATAATGAATTTGATAAACTAATTTATAATTACTTTTATGAACCAGTCATGGCACATCATCATATGTCCCGGCAAGTTCCCGACCTCGTTTATTTTTCCCTACTCATTCTTGCCCTTGTTTGTCTCCCCTCCCATAGTCTCCACTTACTCTTGGTTATATGTTCCCCATTTTTAAAATTTTATTTTATTTCTTTTAGAGATGAGATCTAGCTTTGTTGCCCAAACTGGTCTCAAACTCAGAGGCTTAAGTGATTCTCCCACCTTGGCCTCCAAAAGTGCTGGGATTACAGGCATGAGCCACCATGCACAGCTTATTTATTTATGAGCAGAGTCTTGCTTTGTTGCTGAGGCTGGAGTGTAGTGGCGCAATCTTGGCTCATTGCAACCTCTGCCTCCCAGGTTCAAGTGATTATCCTGCCTCAGCCTCCCGAGTAGCTGGGATTACAGGCGTGTACCACCACACCCAGCTAATTTTTGTATATTTAGTAGAGATGGGGATTTGACCATGTTGGCCAAGCTGGTCTCAAACCCCTGACCTCAGGTGATCCACCCCACTCAGCCATTTATTTATAATACAAATATTTATTGACCATTGACAGTGTCCCAGGGTTTGTTCTAGTTGTTGGACGTCTAGCACTGATCAAGATGGACAAGGTTCCAATCTTCATGGAGTAGACATTCTAGTACTGTTAAAAAAAAAAAAAAAAAAAAAGTAAAATTGAGCCTGGCACGGTGGCTCGCACCTGTAATCCCAACACTTTGGGAGGTGGAGGCAGGTGGATTACTTGAGGTCAGAAGTTCAAGACCAGCCTGGCCAAGATGGCAAAACCCCATCTCTACTACAAATACAAAAATTAGCTGGACCTGGTGGCACACCTCTGTAATCCCCACTACTCGGGAGGCTGAAGCAGGAGAATTGCTTGAACCTAGGAGGCAGAGGTTGCAGTGAGCCAAAGTCTCACCACTACACTCCAGCCTGGGCAACAGAACAAGACTCTGTCTCAAAAAATAAATAAAATAAGGTGGGGAGGGATAGCCTGGGGAGAAAAGCCAAATGTGGGTGAAGGGGAGAAGAAAAGAAAGCACACTGCCATGTGTGTACCTACGCAACTGTCTTGCATGCTCTGCTCATGTACCCCAAAACCTATAATCCAATAAAAAATTAAAAAAAAATAATAATAAATAAATAAATAAAATAGAATCAGGGTAAAGGAATAGAGAGCAGTGGGGAAGAGGAGTCAGGGTGAGGAGGAGGGTAAGGAAGTGGCATTTGACTGTATCCTTGTAAAATGTGTTATATTTTTGTCTATGTATGTTTTAAATGTATATGAGTGACATTGTGCCATATATGCCTTTTTTACTCAACAACATTGTTTTCAAGATCTAACCATGTCAGGCCAAGTGTGATGGCTCACGCTTGTAATTCCAGCACTTTGGGATGCCGAGGCAGGCTGATTACTTGAGGTCAGGAGTTCGAGACCAGCCTGGCCAACATGGTGAAACTCTATGTCTACTAAAAATATAAAAATTAGCTGGGTGTCATGACACCCACCAGTAATCCCAGCTATTCAGGAGGCTGAGGCAGGAGAATCACTTGAACCCAGGAGGCAGAGGTTGCAGTGAAGTGAGATTGTGTCACAGCACTCCAGCCTGGACAACAGAGCGAGTCTCCACCTCGAAAAATAAATAAAATAAGGTGGGGAGGGATAGCCTGGGGAAAAAAAGAAAAGAAAAGAAAATAGATCTAACCATGTCGTAAAAGTGCACATGGCTCATAGCTTAGTGCTGCATGTCGGTCCTTGATATGCTTCCACCACTTAGCCATTTCCTGTCACTGACTCCTGGTTGCCTCCAGCTCCTCATCCATAAATTCTTCCAGGGTGAATGTCCTTACATATTTCCTCATGAGCTAGTACTGGAATTTCTCTGAGACATATAACTGGGAGAGGGATCACTAGATCCTAGAGTTTACGCCTACTTGTGTTCCGTCAGATTACTTTCCAGAAAAGCTGTTCTTGTCCCCTACATCCTCAACATTGATGGGTTTTTATCATTCTAGTATTTGTCATTCTGCCAGGTATGAAAGGGGTGTCTCATTTTAATTTGTATGTCCCTGATTCCTTGAAGATTGGGGATTTCTTCATGTACTTAGTCATTTTGGCTTCCTCCTCTGAGAACTGCCAGCTCATTTCCTCCAGCCTTTGATTTTCAGATTTTTTTTAAAATGGGGGGTTTTACTTGTTGATGTACTGGAGTTCCTAGTATAGAGGAAATATCTGTCTCTTGGTTGCTAACTTTGTTGATGGTGTCCTTTGAGTAACAGAAGCCTTTTTTGTGTGTGATTTTTTGAAACTGAGTCTCACTCTGTCAGCCAGTCTGGAGTGTGGTGGTGCAATCTTATCTCACTGCAACCCCCACACCGGGTTCAAGCGATTTTCCTGCCTCAGCCTCCCAAGTAGCTGGGACTACAGGCACGTGCCACCACACTGGCTAATTTTTTTGCATTTTTAGTAGAAATGGGGTTTCACTGTGTTAGCCAGGATGGTCTCAATATCCTGACCTTGTGATCTGCCCACGTCGGCCTCCCAAAGTGCTGGGATTACAGGCGTGAGCCACGGTTCCCAGCCAGAAGTCTTTAATTAAATCAAAAGCAGCACACATTTTAACTGTTTCCACTTTCCCCCAAGAGGATGATGCAGAAGGGAAATGCACTTATCCCTGCAGACCCTTCATGAGCTGTATGGATCCTCGTGACTCTCGTTCTCTCAGCCTCTTTTTTTTGTTGTTTTTTGTTTGTTTGTTTGTTTGTTTTT